GTGTCCACACTTCTCCACACCTGCTCACACTTCTGTGTGTGTCCACACTTATCCCATACTCTAACACCTGCTCACACTTCTGTCCCCACTTCTAAAATAAGCTTTTCCTGTGTCTTCACTTTCCTCCAAAATTTCACAACTCCTCCTTCTAGTTTAGGAAAATTTGTTTCCTTATGTTGTTTCTGTTTGTTTGCAGTTTTTCCAGACAGGGTTTCTCTGTAGCCCTGGCTGTCCTGAACTAGCTCTGTAGACCAGACGGGCCTCAAACTCACGGAGATCTGCCTGCCTCTGCCTCCCAAGTGCTGGGAGCGCCACCATGCCTGACTTCTTTAGTAAAGAGCATCTATATGGAGTGTGAACAGGTTCTTCTTGTCCTCTAAAGTATAACGCCTACTTACCTAACATCTGCATCCTATTGGGCACTGTAAGTAATCTAGAGATATTCTGAAAGATAAAGGAGGAGGAAGGCTGGGGCACACCTATAGCCCCAACACTTAGGAAGTAAAGGCAGGAGGGTCATGAGTTAAAGGTCACCATCTATGAGCAAGTTTGAGCCTAGCCTGGATCACATAAAACCTAGTCCCATCAAGTGAGAAAAATTATAGCTGGTCATGGTGGCAAATGCCTTTAATCCCAGCACTTGGGAGCAGAGACAGGCAGATCTCCTGAGTTGAGGCCAGCCTGGTCTACAAAGTGAGTTCCAGTTCAGCCAGGGCTACACAGAGAAACCCTGACTTCAAAAAACAAAACAAAACAAAAAATGTACAGGAGGATGTGTGTCATTTATAGGCAAATACTGCCCTGTTTTATGTAAACTACTTGAGCATCTGGAGGTCAGGTTGCTGGGTCTGTTGTTTCTCCACCTCCCACAGATGCAAGGACAGGATCTTAGCTTTTTCTCCTTAATATGTAAAACACAAAACCTGGCATACAGTAAGCCATGAGTTCCAACCATTGTCGAGTGAATGCAGGAATAGAAGCTTTCAAGGCCTATGTTGGCACTGGAGGAAAAGCTAACGTCTTTTGAGTGGGTTTTCTTCTCCCCATTCCTACAGCATCCCCATCCTGCTGATACCCCGGTGTCCACATGTAGACTTTCACATACACCCTAGACTCGTGGACCAAGTCCTTCACAGCAGCCTCTCCTGTGCTCCTCAGGACCTTCACGGAAACCATGAGTTCCCTGTGCCCTGGGAAGCCGTGGCACACCAAGCTGAGCAGTGCGGGACTTGTCTATCTGCACTTCGGGCACAAGCTCCTGGCCCAGTTGCTGGGCACTAGTGAAGAGGACAGCGTGGTGGATACCATCTATGACAAGGTAGGGCCTGAGGCAAAGATGTCCTGTGTACACACTCCCACCGGCTGGCTGGGAGTGGCCCTGGTGCAGCCAGTCTGGAGGTTAAGAGCACAGAATACTCTTCCAGAGGACAGGATTTAGTTCCCAACATCCACATGGTGCTTCACAACATCTGTGACTCCAGTTTCAGGGGATCTGATGCCCTCGTCTGGCCTCCACTGGTACCAGGCATGCACATTGTGCACAGGTACACATGCAAGCAAAGCGCCCATACACACAAAAATGAATTAAAAAAATTTTGTGACTATGTAGTCCTGGCTGTCCTGAAACTCACAATGTAGACCATGTTGGCCTTGAACACACAGATTTGACTGCCTCTGTCTCCTGAGTGCTGGGATTAAACATGTGTGCTACAATACAATGCCCAGCTAAAAAAATTTTTAATGAGGGCTGGAAAGATGGCTCAACAGTTAAGAGCACTGGCTGCTCTTCCAGAGGTCCTGAGTTCAATTCCCAGCACCCACATGGTGGCTCACAACCGCCTGTAATGAGATCTGGCGCCCTCTTCTGTAATGCAGGCACACATGCAAAGTAGCACTCATACACAAAATAAAATTAATGAAAAATAATAGTAAGTCATTGGCCCCTCTGTGCACATGCTGGCCTTGGCCACAGTGATGCAGCCCCTTGTGTTAGAGGTCAGGTGACCTGAATTCCAGTCCCAACACTGCGCTGCCTCCTTTCCTTCTCCCTCTGCCCATCTGGTCAATGGTGAAACACTCAGGGCTGTTGTGAGGAAGTGTGTGTGTACGTTCTGTGAAACCTACGCCCACTTTACGATGGTGGTTGTCCTCAAGTGCACGTCCCCTGCCACTGCTTCAGATGTACGAGAACTTCGTGGAAGAGGTGGACGCAGTGGACAATGGGATCTCTCAGTGGGAAGAAGGGGAGCCTCGGTATGCACTGACCACCACACTGAGTGCCAGGGTTGCCCGGCTCAATCCCACCTGGAACCAGCCCAACCAAGACACTGAGGTAGGGAGAGCCTGAGGACAGAGTAAGAGCAGCCGCCCTCCCAGTCCTGTGAGTGGAATCCGGCCAGTGCCCAGCGTGACTTGTGCTTCCGCCTTTCCCAGGCAGGGTTCAGGCGTGCCATGGACCTGGTGCAAGAGGAGTTCCTGCAGAGACTGCATTTCTACCAGCACAGCTGGCTCCCAGCCCGGGCCCTGGTAGAGGAGGCCCTGGCCCAGCGATTCAAGGTAGAGCTGGGAGGTGGCCTGGGCCAGGATGCTTCTGGGCCATCTGGTCAACTGGGCCTCCTGCTTCTGCCCAAACCTGGCCACACACTGCTTCCCTCAGGTGGACTCGAGTGGGAAGATAGTGGAACTGGCCAAAGGTGGGTGCCCTTGGAAGGAGCATCTCTACCACCTGGAGTCTGAGCTGTGCCCCGCAGCGGCCATCGCCTTCGTTATCTACACTGACCAGGCTGGGCAGTGGCAAGTCCAGTGTGTGCCCAAGGAGCCTCACTCTTTCCAAAGCCGGTGAGTCCCCACAAAACTGCCATCACACCTGCTTCAGCCCTGCTGGAGTCCGCCACCCTTAGCGCCTCATGCCTGTGTGTTCTTACACAGGCTGCCCCTGCCAGAGCCGTGGCGGGGCCTTCGGGATGAGGCCCTGGATCAAGTCAGTGGGATCCCTGGCTGCATCTTTGTTCACGCCAGCGGCTTCATCGGTGGGCACCACACTCGAGAAGGTGCCCTGAACATGGCCCGTGCCACTCTTGCCCAGCACCCAGAACCCACGCCCCTTGCAAATGCTGCGGTCCAATAAAACCTCACCTGGTGACTTTCTCAGATTTGGTAAGGGCAGCGTCTCTGTGCAGGGCCCCATGCTGGGGATCTCCCACGGCTGCTCAGCTTTGCTTTTCAAACCATTTGACAACCATCCTAGTGGCTGGGGAGAAGCCTCAGGGGTTAAGAGCACTGTTGCTCTTGGAGAGGAATCAGATTCAATTCCTAGCACCCACACAGGAGATCACATAACTGTTTATAACTCCAGTTCAAGAGGATCCAACCCCCTTCTGACTCTATGGGCACTAGACACACCTGAGATACACATATGTACATGTAGGAAACACATACACAAAGTATTAAATCTTCGGGCTGGAGAGATGGCTCAGCAGTTAAGAGCACTGACTGCTCTTCCAGAGGTCCTGGGTTCAATTCCCAGCAACCACATGGTGGCTCACAACCATCTGTAATCAGATCTGGCGCCCTCTTCTGGCATGAAGGCAAACATGCTGTATACATAATAAATAAATAAATCTTTTAAAAAAAAAAAAAAGTATTAAATCTTAAAAAGTAAAGAGAAGGGCTGGAGAGATGGCTCAGAGGTTAAGAGCACTGGCTCCTCCAGAGGTCCTGAGTTCAATTCCCAGCAACCACATGGTGGCTCACAACCATCTGTAATGAGATCTGGCGCCCTCTTCTGGCATACAGGCAGAACATTGTATACATAATAAATCTTAAAAAAATTTAAAAAAAAAGCCGTCTGAGGACTAAATAACTTGATCAAGTTCACAGGTAGCTAGAAAGTGACAGCAGAATCTTGGTCCGTGGTCCCACTCCTTTTTTTCTACTATAACCAGCAAAAAACCACCACAGCCTGGTAAATGAGTAGAAAACCAGACTTTATTTACAAGTGGGAGTGTGGGGAGTGGGGCTGGGCAGATGGTAGTCCTGGAAGAGGGTCCCAAGGGGCAGAGGTTGATGATGTCTCAGTAAACAGTGGCACTTCGTGAACAGAGCCTCCACCTCCAGCTGGCGGCTCCTGAGCCCGGCCAAGCACTGGGCTGAAGCGTGGAAACTGGGCGTTGACAAAGTAGAGAGGGATATGGGCGATGCGGCCTGTGGACCAGCACTACAGAAAATGGGTAAGAAAGGTCTCAAGAGTCTGAACCCAGAAGTGGCCTCACGATAGCGCCAAGACCATTGGGCCTCTAGCCATCCAGAAGACACACAAGTATGCACATGTACGTACACAACACACACACACACACACACACACACACACACACACACACAGCCTAGTCCTTATCTACTCACCACACTGAGCAAGGCCCCTTTGCTGAAGGAAGGATGGAAAGTGATGAGCTGAGCCTGGGCTCCTGGTTCCCCCTGAATAACACCACTACGGCAAGAGAAGGAGAGGGTGAGAGGCCAGAGGCGGCTGGGAAGTCGTGCAGTTCATATGGGAAGGTGCTGTGGAGCCCAGGCCCAGAGGCCTGCTCTGCACTTACCAGGGAAGCAGCTCAAACACCGGGCTGTTTCGAGTTCGAAAGAGGAGGATGACGGGATTCCCATCCTGTACCCGTGGGTTTCCTGTAAGAAATGGGTCAGCTAATACAGGGAACTCTGGAAGCCAGGTCCCAGAGGGCAGAGAACAGCAGCCCTGGGGCTGTTAAAAACCTATTAGGCGAGTCCAGGACAGCCAGAGCTACAGAGAAGCCTTGTCTTGAAAACCAAACAGACAGCCCTTTCTCTAGTCGGATGGAATAGTACACACCTTTGATCTAGCACTCGGAGGCAGGGTCTACCCACTGAGTTCCAGGTCGGCCAGGACTAGCCACTGAGACCCTGTCTCAAAGAAGCAAGCTCATTCCTTGGATCCTTACCTTTCATGAGCACAGCCAGACGCTCACCACTAGGGTCCCAAACCATGGAGTGGGCCTCCCCGCCAAGCCTGTGCCAGGACAGGGTGGGCGTTCAGTGTGGCTCTTCCGAGTCTTCACCACCCCTCCCACAGGCACTGAAACCCACCTCTCCTCTCCATCTGGTGTCTGTATTGTTGTCTCAGAAAGATCTGCCACGATTGTTGCTGACTTCGCGCCTCCAACACGTCCCTTCTCTGTTCCTGGAGGGCAGAGGTTTCCTGGGTTTCTGTACCCTTCATCCCTCAGTGCGCTCTTCCGGCTGCTGTCTCCCTCAGACCACCCCACAAAGTCTGCATTCTGAAAGTTAAAACTCACCACATCGAGCTGGGAATGACAAGGAGTAAATTAGTGTTTCCCCTAGAACCGTGAACAGCAGACGGTTTCCATCTGGACTCCAGCAGCCAGTCTGGGGAAGGAGGGAAAAGCCAGGAGAAAAGAGGTCTGTAGGAGGACTAACGCAGGAGAGAAGTAGGGGACCATGCAAGGGAGAGCCAGGCCCATTAAAATCCCCTTCCTCCCAGCGTCGTGAGTCACAGGCCCCTCTTACCTGACAGCGCCCTGAGAGAGTGGGCCACCTCTCACAAGTCCACATCTGGGTCTCCCAGACTCTGAGCCAGAGAAAGATTACTGGGTGGGGCCTTCATGCTCCAAACCCAGACTGTCCCGCCCACCTTGCACCCCCCGGGTCAGGTCCAGAAGCCAAGTGCCTCTCTGTTGGATCTTGGCTTCCCTCAGCTTTTCACCTACTCACCGGAAGACAGCTGAAGGTGTAGTAGCCAGGACTTTGCTGCCATCTGGGGACCACAGCAAGTTGGTAACCCCTCCGCCTCGGAACCAGGGAAGGGGGACACAGATTTCTGTTGAGACATCCCATACCTAAGAGACAGGCAAGTGGTACAGAAACTCAAAGCACTATCAGCCAGCTCACTTAGGCTGCTCTGTTCCATGCATGAAGGCCCGGAAAAGAGGAAGCAGTAAGAAGGACTTCTCAACCCGAAGACCTGGGCTTAGGGTACAGTGCAGGTTGACAGTCTGAGGCCCGAGGATCGCTCCTTCACTGTATAACTGAAGACAGACACAATCTCACTCCCCCAAGCTTCCCACCACCAGATGAAGAAGGCTCTTAACACTGAGGGGTGGGGACCACTCACCAGAATAGCAGCATCTACAGGTGAGGCTGAGAGCAGCCGCCCCCCATTGGGGGCCCAAGCCAAGCTGGTGACTGGTGTGTGCCCAGGGTGAGATAATACCTGGGCACAGCCAGAAGAGGGTCTGTGGGATGAACAGAAGGCACAGGGTAAAAAGATGGTAAATGGGGGGGGGGCGCCTTTGATCCCAACACTGGGGAGAAACCCCATCTTGAAAAGACAAACAAAAACGGTAAGCACACGCATGGGGGCTGGAGAGGGTAAGTGACTGAGCACAGCGGCTGCTTTCCCCGAGGGTGGGAGTTCAGCCTCCAGCACTCACTGCAGGGGCTCAAAACCACCTGCAACTCCAGCCAGGGCTCAGTGCCCTCTCCTGGCCTCTGCCAGCACCCACACCACAAAATGGAAACGCCCTGTCCTGACTCCATTTCCCTGCTTCTGCTAGAACCTCATTCACTCTAACCTCAGTCCAGGTCGGGAAAAATAAAGGATGATGGTGGATGTTAGAGGGGAAGATCTACGGAGAACTCGTGATTTGCAGGGTAGGAGCCAGGATAAAAAAGCTGTAGGGAGGCAGTGGTGGTGGACACCTTTAATCCCAACACTCGGAAGGGACAGCCAGGCAGATCTCTGTGAGTTTGAGGCCAACCTGGTCTACAGAGTGAGATCCAGGACAGCCAAGGCTACTCAGAGAAACTCTGTCTCAAAAAAAAAAAAAACAAGAAAAAAACAACAAAAAAGTCAGAAGCTGCAGGGCGGACCTGCAGAGGACTGCTCCCAGCAGAGAGTGTAAAAGAGGCGATGCTGGAGTGTCTCTCCCCACTGGGCTGGGTCACCAATGACATTACCTCAAGGAGAAGTATCTCTTTTCTCAACCCCCGCACGAATCACCTCTCCTTGTCAGAACATCTCCCACTTCCAAGTGCCCACAGCTTTCTGTTTACCAAAAAGCGCTGACTGTGGACTGCCCTCCATCCCTGGGGCCTGGCTCTTCCCTTTCTATCCACCTTGAATTCCTCTGAGGCCCTGGGCCCCTCAACTTTATAGGGAACGGTAACTATCAAGTCAGCTCAGTGGCTCCACTGTCCCTGTAACATGTGATCAAAAAATAAACCTTTTATTGTTTTATGTACATGACTGTTTTGCACACGTACATGTCAGTGCCCATGATGGCCAGAAGAGGGCATCAGATCACCTAAAAGTCTCTCCTGAGTCATCTCCCCATCCCTAAAATAAAAACATTTTAAAGGGTAGCCCATTTTTTTCGAGCCTCCTTTCTACAGGAACTGTTAATCTACTTATCAATAAAACTTTCTTGGCTTCTCCTTATAAAATTTTTTTTCCCTAGGAATGGGGATAGAGAGAATGTTCAGTAGTTAAGAGCATTAGCTGCTCTTCCAGAGGATCCAAGTTCAATTCCCACCAACCAACCACATGGTGGCTCACAACCATCTGCAATGAGATCTGGCTCCCTCTTCTATAATGCAGACAGAACACTGTATACATAATAAATAAATCTTTAAAAAAGAAAAAAGTATAAAGATAGTGATGGACAGCCAGGTGGTGGTGGCACACGCCTTTAGTCCTAGCACTTGGGACGAGAGGGAGGCAGATCTCTGTGAGTTCAAGGACAGCCAAGGCTACACAGAGAAACCCTGCCTCAACAAACAAACAAAAACAAAGGAATGGCAGATGTCAGCTTCTCAGTTTTGCGTTGAGAATAAACTGAAACCGGCCAGGCATGGTGGTCACCCTTTAACCCCAAAACTCAGGACGCAGAGAAAGGTCGATCTCTGTGAGCTCAAGACTAGCCTGGTCTACATAGCAAGTTCTAGACCAAGCAGAGCTACAAAGGAAGACCCTGTCAAAAAAAAAGTATACTGAAACAGTAATTTCATAACTCCTCTGTAAGGATTACGCTAAAACAGGGCTGGCAGGAGAGGAAAAGAAACAAGAATGGAGGAGGGGCAGAGAGGTGGCACTAGATCCTGAGGA